GCATCACTATTGTTCCTCTCTTGACTTCTATTTGAAGGACTATTATGAGAGCTTGGTCCATATTTGTAATGACTTGTTTCCGTCGTTATGAAAAAGCCAATGGGAAAAGAATTGGGGCCAGAAAAGTACTTTTGAGTAGTGACTTGGAAATTTCTAGCCTAGTTCAGATTTGGACGAAATCTGAGGTAGGTAAGGTCTAGGGAAATCTGCTAATGAATGGGGGGAATTTAATTATGAATTTGATCACATGAGTGGATAGCTAAGACATTAAGGAGCTTGTACGGCTTTACGGAATTGAATTTGGGCGAGTAGAACTCCCGAAACTGATCTTGGCATGAAAGGGTAGTTTCTGAACGTCAAGGGTTGAAGGTGTGTTGTAAAATAGGAGCTTGGAACTCAACTTCCGACTTTCAGTCTCCGTACAAGCCGCCGGGGCAGGGTTAGTTCCACCAGGGCGAGACAGTCGTGACTCAAGTCGGGGAAAACCCAAATTTCGTTATTTTTTGCAAAACTTCGTTCTTGAGAGCTAGGAGACGAACTAGAGCAGTTCTTGACAGTTTTCCACGATTACTAGCGCTAAAGGTAAGATAATTACTCCCCTAATCCGTAATTTGATTCTTAGAACTTAGAATTTTGAGTAATTATCATTAGGGGAGGGTTTTGGCCTGAAGTTGATGGTGGAAAAAGCTCTAATTGAGTATTGGGATCTTGGGTTTGGACTAGGATTGATAGTTTGATTATTACTCGGGTAAATTAGGCCTTGTTTATTGATTCATGCATTATTTAACTATTTTAGACCAAGAACAAGCGAAAAGCATCCGAAAAGGGAAGACTCAAGTGTCTTAGGAGGATTCTAGCTTGGTTTCGAGGTAGGTGATGATTTGATTTCCTATTTGTGTGATATATGCCGGTTAATTGCTTCATTGTATGCATGCATGTATGTGAATAAGAAAATGTAAATCAAATCTGATGAAAATGAGTATGTATGAACAATTACATGCCACGACCCTTTTACTTGATTGTATGACTATGAGCATTGTTCATTATGGGTGTGATTGTGATTTTGGTTGTGCTGATTGGATTGGGTGTCACGTTCCGACACATATATTGGATCGGGTGTCACGTTTTGACACACATATTGGATTAGGTGTCACGTTCTGACACACATATTGGACCGGATGTCACGTTCCGACACATGTACATTGGATCAGGTGTCACGTTTCGAAATACTAACAGTTTGGGTGTGGGTTCCATGAGAGGACCACTTGTGATTATTACATTCATGTCTACCTGTCATTGCTATTGGAAAGTTGTATGTTGCTTCTGAAATGCTAATTGGACTATGTATTCTGTATATGTGTGTTTATTGCGTTGTAATTACCTGTCTTTATTTCGTTTACTGGAGTAGCAGCATGATCCTACCAGTACATTGTGGTTGTGTACTGATACTGCACTTGCTCATTCTTTGTTGAGTACAGGGAATCTTCAGACGGCTACTGATAGACCTCAGCCAGGGGATCATTGATCAAAGACCGAATTTAAGGGTGAGATAGTTCTTTCAGGCTGCCATGGATCCTTCAGTTGTTTAATCCATTCTTTTCGGACTCAGACTGCTTAGTTAGACTTTTACTTATGTTAGATTCGAGGTTGCACCCCTTTTTCTTAGACTTGTCGTTTAGTAGAGTTTTGGTACATTGACTTTCAGGTTCTAGGGGTGAATTTCCGCAATAGTTATGTTTAGTTGCTTATTTAAGCTTTCGGAGTTTATGGGAACTCCATGTTATTTAGTCATTTAAACTTGCTTCCGTATCTTTAAATGCTTAGTTTTTCGTTAGGTTGCTTAGTTGGGTTGTAGTAGTGGTTCTCCCACCGAAGGGTTAGTGTGAGTGTCAATCACGACAGTCTGGGTCGTGACAATATTTGTTGTTATAAGAACATGTTCCTTGTCCAGCAGACTTGAAGCCTCTTCCTCTGGAGTGGAAGTTATTGTTTCCTCTTCTTTGAGAGTAGTTTCCTCTTCCCCTGCCCCTTTGGACAGAGAATGCCATGTTATGATTTTGTTGTAACACTTCTTCTTCATCCTCCCTCATATCAAAACCCCTGAGAGCATTAATAAATTGATTAAGAGTGAGATATGAGGTCTTACCTAACAATCAGTCCTGAAGGTCTTGTACTTGAGACCTAAACCTCTAGCAAAATTAATAACTTTGTTATCTTCATCCACGGGCTTGTGAATGGTTGCAAGACCATCACATATGTCTTAGAATTCCTTAATATATTCATCAATCTTTTTGGTTCCTATCCTAACACTTTGCAGTTGTTGTTTGAATTGGAACTCCTTATCTTTCGTTGCTTGAAGATAAGCTTCTTCCAAGAATTCTCACATCTCCTTGGCTGTTGAGCAGCCTATAATATAGTCATCCTTTCTTTTATCAAGGAGCCTGAGATCCAACTTCTTAGCAACACATCATTCTCCTCATAATCATCAATATTGTTGTTGTCTTCTGCATCCTTCTCAATTGCTATAACTTTCTTAATAATTTGTCCAGTGGAACGGGTACTTTTAGTTGGTTAATTCTCTGTGATGAGGTAGGTTAATCTCATCACTTGAATCAACTGAAACATTTGTGTTCTCCATATAAGATAATTTGATGGCTTGAGTTTAATGGAACAAGACGCAATAAGATGGTGAAGTGAGGAGGCTGATAGGGTGTTGGTAGAAGAGGTCATTGCAATTTGATATTGTGGTTATTCTGATTTTTGGATCTAATATGTTAAAGAGTGGAAAAGTTTTAATGCTCTGATACTATGTAGAATTCTCATGTAAAATATAGAGAAATCAAGGATTGTATTGATAATTAAAATTGTTGAGTACATGCTCCTTATAAAGGAGAAGAGTCCTATACTAGTTACACTAGGAGTCCTACTACAATACAAATATATTATTTACATGAGTAGTATTACTACTATAATTAAAACACTTTATCCTAGTCGACTTTAGCCCCATACACGATACATTAGCTTAGTCGTACATAAGTTAAGATTTAATAGTCTAGTCCTAGTGTGACTCTAATTCTACAGTAATAACCACGTTAGTCAACTTTCTTGGACCGGTTCCTTTGACATGTTCTAATTATTAGCTTCCTTCATCTTCAACCTATTCCACCAACATTCCCTATTATTGTTCGATTCTATGAGATATACTCCGAGACAATTAAAATTATTTCTTGCCTTCTCATTTTTTATTATACAATTTCTCTTATTTTAATTTAAAAAATTATGGTCATTGACCATTTTGATTAAATTAAAGGAGGAGTTATTATGATATAAACAACTTACAATTCTCTGAAGCATGCACTAAACGGCTAAAGTGAAAATGTAAAGTCTTTCGAGAAGTGAAACTTTTTATTTTGTTACCATATTAGTTGTGTAAGTCTTTTTTTGTATAGACATAATAAAGTTATTGATGTGGAGCGTTAGTGCAACATATGGTGTGAAAATTTACTCGAAAATATTGAGAGATGTCGGAGCAGTTGGTCAATTATGAAGTCTCAATGCGCTTTGTTCTTATTCTTTTTTGTTAAGGACGGAAATTTAGATAAATACGAAATTAAGGTTCGTTTGGTAGAGTAGATAAAAATAATGCTAAATAGAGTGTATTAGTAATGTTTGCATTAGTAATACATGTAGTAGTTATGCTTGCATTAATTATACATAGATTATTTTTATGCATTTTTTGGTTTGATGCATTAAAAATAGCATGTACGGCATAAAAAAGTTATTTACAAAGACACCCTCCACTGTAAAAAAAAAGGATTTTGAGGGACAATTGAGTCTTTTATCGTGTTAATGCATGCATTAAAAATGTTGCATTGCTAATACCTAGAAATTCATGGTATTAGCAATGCACACCTTAATACACAATAGAGTGTACCACAACTGCAAATATTAGTTATGCATTGATTGGGAAAGAGCACCAAACAAGGTACTAGTAATACACAAGGTTAATGCATGCATTCTTTTTTCTAATATACTCTACCAAACGACCCCTAAGTGTCTAGTACAGTACTGGTTTGGGCATTCCCCAAGACTGAATGTTGGGCCATAGTGTGGCCAATAGTATCAATATTACAAACAAAAATGCTCCTCACAAAAAAAGTTGTTTATGTGATCTCAGTTACTTTCAAAAATTCATAATAAAACTACAAGATATTGTTGTTTATGAAGAATAATTTGGATGTGCAAAATTTGAACTTCATTTCCAGCTACAAGCCTAATTGACCTCAACTTCAAAACATGATTACTTGTTGACATTTTGAATTCCAAAATTTCAGAAATCTGGCCTGTTCATTCCATTCTAACTACTCTCATATATTCTGTTTAATATCTAAATGATTGTAGTGTAAAATGAGCAAATCAATAGCAAGTAGCACCAGTGGTCTAGTAGTAGAATACTACTCTGCCACGGTACAGACCTGGGTTCGATTCCCGGCTGGTGCATTCTTGGGTTAGCTGTGAAGAATCTGTGCTCAATGCGGTGATTTGGGTCTCCGCACTCATCTGACTAATAAACATGGTGATAGTTGCACATTTGAGCTTCCCTTTTTTTTCCTTTTAGATTTTAGGGGCTCAACTTTGTTTTCCTTGTCTTGTCATAAAAACAAAATCAGTGAAACATATAATTACTCAGGTTGCTTGTGGTGTTGTTAACTGTCACCAAAAGAAAACTAGATAAATCATGTTCAGTATTATATGGGGAATGTTTTATTACATGTTTGCATATAACCACGCATTTAGAAATATGCAATCTTCATGAATTAGAACAACTGAAGGTGGTGTTGGATGCCAGAGTATATATCATATTTCAAAGGTCTCAAGAACCTTAAGCGGAAGGCGTTAAACTGATCTTAATAAATAAGGCATCTAAACTAAGAAATGTGCAAAGAGCTATCTTTTATTAGGAATGTACAACTTTATAACTACAAATTAAAAGAAGCAGAATCAAACCTTAAACTCATGAATTTGTTTCACAGTGCATATTAACCTCATGTCACCAAGCATGAGAAGGACTAACCCTATGACTGTCATCATCTGTCAATGCAGGTTGAAGCTTATAACCTTTTCTTTCGGGTATGCTTGCTCCAAGAACAACTTCCTTAATGAATTGAGTTCTCCAACAACATCACTGATCTGCTTTCTTTCTTTTGGAGATTCAACGGAGCAGGAAACTCCGACTTGAATCACCTTAACTAAGAATGACAGAAATATGTCGACAGCACTGCTTGTATTGTCATCAACTTTGTATTTCATTCCAAGTTCATCTCTTTCCTGGAGAAGAATGGGATCTGCAATATGCATCACTCTGTCAGGCAAAGCAGCATTGGCATAGTTATGAAGGTTTAAATTGTCTTTGAACATTTCATCAGTTGGTTTCCTCCCGGTAAACATTTCCAAGAGCAGAATGCCAAAGCTGTATACATCTCCATAGATTGAGGCGTCGCTTCCCATACCTAATTCTGTCAACAAGAAATACTACAGAATTAGAGATATTCTTATCAAATGACATATTTATGACAGCCAGCAGAAACCTTGATTTATTATTACCTGGAGGTGTATAACCAATAGTTCCCCCTACGCCTGTAGAACTTTTTGAATTTGCTGATGAGTTCGGAATTGCTGGTGGAACAAATCTTGCCAAACCAAAATCACCAACATGTGCAGTCATGTTCTCATCGAGAAGAATATTGCTTGGCTTCAGATCACGGTGAATTATTGGGGGTTGGCAATCATTATGGAGATAATCTAGAGCACAGGCAACATCAATGGCAATGTTTAATCTTTGAATAAACCCGAGCTTCTTGTGCTCTTCCTGTGACTCAGATTTCTCCTGAGGAGTGAAATGTAACCAGTCCTGTAGACTTCCCTTATCCATGTATTCATAAACTATGGCCTTGAACTCATTACCTTCATAATCAATACCTGAGCATGCACTTAGAACCTTTACAAGATTACGATGTCTAATGTTCTTTAGAACCTCACATTCAGCTAAAAAACTCCTGGAAGCTGCATGGTGTGAAAGGTCCAGTACCTTAACAGCAAAAAACGTACCATCGTGTTCAGAAATTCCTTTATATACAGACCCAAAAGCACCCACTCCAAGCAAATTTGATGCAGAAAATCTATCAGTTTCCCTAAGTAGACACTGATAAGATACTACTAAATTGCCGTATGCCAAGAAACAAACTATGAATGTCAATCCTATAAGCCC